TTTGCCAGTATCCAGCCAGAGCCTACTGCCAGAGTTTGGCACAGAAAGGGCCTCAGCAAGGATCTGCTGGAATAATCAATGGATTAATTACTTTAAAAAGTACTAGGTGCAAACCAAAGAATAGCCAAACAAAAGAACCTCAGGCAAGTTGCTTTCTTTCCCTGGGCTTTGGGGTTTTAGATAAAGGAACGCAATCATTTCTCTGCAGAATGTTAAGAAAAATAAAAAGATAAAGATTGTAAATATATAGAATCATATGGTTGTCACATAAAAAGCTACTTCAACACATGTATTTAAAATTTAACTCAGTAACTATGCACTGCATACCTACTCTGTATAAGACAATTATGAGACAGTTCCAGAGGTAACACTGGTACAACTGAGAGAGAGATAAGCTTCCTTCTGATAGCAGAGGAAATAAATACAGTTCTGAATTTCTTTTGTTCCTTATTTTCTTTGCCTCTCTAAGCATCTATGCTCAAATTTTTTAAACATTATTTAAAAAAGCAATAGCATAGGAAAACACTCAGGCTTGACTCCATGTCCACTGCCACCTCCGTGACCTCAGGCAAAACCAATAAACCTCCTTGAACCTCAGCCTCCTGCTCTGACAAATGAGGACTGCTGTGAGAACTTACTAAGATCACGGGTGTGAGAAGCTGGCAGTGTCAGGCCCTGAGCAGGACTGGAATTAAAATACTGCAGGCATGCCTCTGGAAGCTTTGAGGACCAGTCAGTCCTGCCCAGTTCCTCCGTGGTCCTGGTCCCAGAATGCACCAGGCAGAACTAACCTCCACTGTGACAAAAGTCAAGGAACCTGATAGAACCAAAGAGAATCCTCCTCCCTCAAGCCCTCACCGTAAGAGGCTGCCTGTGTAGAAATGGCACAACAGCAAGCAACCAAGCAATCCGAGAAAATGCCTTTGTCACACATAAATAAGCAGCAAGAACAAAGGCATGGCTCAAACGGGTCCTGGAAGTGAGGTGGCAGTCCGATCACCTGATGGCATTTTTTAGAACCCGAGCTAAACATCAAGTAAGAATTACAAACAGGATAAATGACTTGCTGGAGAAATAGGCTATTTTAATAAGGAGACTATCAGGCATTTCCATGCATACTAAGCCCTTGGCATTCAGAGTGACATTTTCTTTCTGGAAGCTCCTAAGCCTGACTATAAGTCAAGTTAGAAAGATTAAAAGTAATTGACAATGCTACAGTTTCAAAAAATAGAAAGAAAAGAGAGACAGACTGGGTCCCTATAGCTAGCATCCAACCACAGCGTCTGAGTCAGAATTTACACTCAATAAGTATTGAACTTGGGATGGAGAGGGAGGGTGAGAAGCTGGGGGAGGAAGAAGGGATAAATTCAGACCTCAAGCTGAACTCTTTCAGGTCTGCTTGATAATCAATATTAAACACTCCTCTGGCAAAACAGGACTGGTCCCTGGGAGAAATAGATGTGAACTTGCAGAGCTGCAGGTGGATGTGTGGAATGGAATCTCTGTCCCCGTCAACACCCCTGCTGACCCCAAGCACCAGAAGAGGTGGCGGCGACTGCATTCATAATTTCATGTAACGAGGGATAAAGAAAGAGCAGGCTCCTTATACTCCATCACTTCTTGACTCCATCACTTCTTGAATCAAAAACAAAGATGGGAGGATTAACACTTTGCTATTTGAAAGTACCACTTAATCTGCTCAGAAGGTTACAGTGAGCTACCTACTTGCAAATTAAATATCCAGGTGCTGAAAACACAAATCATTTCACTCCACTTTTCATTTTTGTGGGGCTTTTTGGAAAAAAAACCCTGACTTTTGGCTAGGAAACACTTTGATAATTACCAGTTCATACCACTTAATACACAAAGTGACATTTAAGAGCTTCTGCCGGGAGCCTTCCTTCCCACTGCCCACCCACATCCCCCATCCTTAGACAGAGTGGCACATTTTAATTTATCACCCTTGGCCTTCTGATTAGGGAATTAAGCTCAAATGAAGAAGGCTGCACAAAGCTTAATCAACCCAGAAAGCCAGAAATAGATTAACAAGGCCTGATTCGACAGTGCCAGGTCGTTCCTGTGTGTGAGGCTCCAGGTCTGATTGTTCACAGGGCTAGGAAGGAGACCCTTTCAAGCAGGCCACAGCCTCCTCCGTCCAGGATACTGAGGGATAGAAAGCAGGATACAGGCACTCAAGGAAAGATGGCAGAAAGCCACATGGCTGACAGATTCCACGTGGCACTGGTGGTGCAGGGGCTTCTTTGTCCCAACATGCCTGGGCCTGGGGAGACCCCTGCACTTCACACTCAGGCAGTGTCCACAGGTGGGGATCCAATCAGGGACAGAGGGTGACAGGAGCCTGGGCAAACTGAAAAGATGGGTGTATCCCATACAGGAAGGGGGTTCTTAAAAGGGCAAAACCTGGAGGATGTCTGCAGACCACTGATCTCCAGGTCCCCTTCTCCTTGGAGAAGCTCCTTGCTTTACTTTCACTTGCCCCAATAAATCTTTGCTAAACTCTCACGGTTCTCCTGCCTCTTAAAATTCTTTGTCTGGCAGAGAAAAAGAGTCCCTAGCCCTCGACGGTAACACTGCCACTCAGCTCACAAAGTGCCTGAGTCAGACTCACTACAGCTTTCCTCCCGGCCCAGGAAGCAGTCGCTCCTAAGGAGGAAAATGCAGAGCTCTTCTGGCTCGACTTGTGTCCATCTCTATGTGGCACAGGACACTGGATGCAGGACCAGGCAGAGCTGTTTTCAATGTCCCAGAGACAGACCAAAGGGACTGATAGTCATCTGAACTCCTCTCTTTAGTATCTGCTGAGCTGACCCCAGGCTCAGAGCAACTATCACCATAAGGACACTCTGCCATCAGGTGTATTTCACAACATTGGAGATTATGGTCTCCTAAAACATTGGGGTTTGGTGAGAAGAGGAAACTGAGGTTCTGAGAATTTCTGCAAAATCTAATGTTTGTCTAATTGAGACCAAACAAAGAATCTTTTTTTTTTGGTAGTACCAGGATTTGAACTCAGAGCTTAGCACTTCCTAGGTAGGAGCTCTAACACTTCAGCCACACCTTTAGCTTCCAAGATGAAATAGTGAAAAAGCTGTTTTTTATTCCACTAGATGTATAATGACAGGTAAACCTCTTAGCCTGGCTGAGCCTAGTTCTTCAATTATCAAACACCAAAAATAAGAACCAGCTGGGCACCGATGTCTCACACCTGTAATCCTAGCAACTCAGGAGGCAAAGATCAGGAGGATCGCAGTTCGAAGCCAGCCTGACCCTATCTCAAAAAACCCTTCACACACACACACAAAAAGGCTGGTGGAGTGGCTCAAAGTGTAGGTCCTGAGTTCAAACACCAGTACTTAAAAAAAAAGAAAAAAGAACCAAATTAAATAAGGTGTAAGAAGGACACTGCACATTTTTAGTATCATTAAAAATAAAGCATTTTTAGATTATCAGCATCATGACTTCCAGATCCACAGACATGACCCCCATGGGTGATGAAGCTAGGTATCCTGATACAGAATGAGAAGGCTTCCTGTAAATGGAACCCACCTCGAGGGGTTCCCATGTGTCTCTGTTACGAATAATCGGCAGTATAACAAGAAAGGCAATCAGATACAGCCAAAGTAGTAATCCAATCTGGAGTGGATGAGCCAGCCTCGCCCGAGCTCAGTCTCTGACTGGATTAATTTATCTGTGATTGCGCCCTTGGCTCAACCCAGACCTCAGAGTGTGATCTAGACTTTCACGCACACTGTCTGGGAAAAAATCAGAACTACCCAGGCCTATGAGGAGAAAGGAAAACAGGATTTGAAAAAACTAAGAGGAGCAACAGAAAATAGACACAGAATGGAGGCACAGATAAGGAGGCTGTCAGAGACTTCAACAAAACTACATTTACTATGTGTGAGGAACAAGCGAAAGACTGAGACTTTTTACAGACAACAGGAAACAGAAAAGGAAACCTAATAAAGTCAACTGTAGGACAATGATGGCAGAGTGAATTTAACTAAGATATATTGTAAGCATTTTGGTAATTGTCACAATGGACCCCAGCACAACAATAAGGAAGAAAAATTTTAAAACGTCATCTGCAAATGCTTATCCAAAAGAAGGAAGGAGAGCCCACGCTGATGAAATGTATCTAGTGTGGTTGGCCAGTAGACTGACCACGTGCCTGACCAGGAGAAACTGGGGGCAGTGTAGCAGCCTCAGGCCCTGGACGCTGGTGCCAGACCGCCTGGTTTTGAAACTTTGCCTGGCTATTTAGTAGTGTGTGCCCTTGGGCAAGTTACTTAACCTTGAGAGTCCTCACTGTACCACAAGACCTGCTGCAAAGGATTTGTAAGAGAATTCTGAGTGGGTTTTGTAATGTTCTTAAGTCAGTGTCTGGCACGAAGTTCTGTTGTACTGCAGTACAATGGAAGTCCTCACTAAACGAACAAAACTGAATTCAGTTCAGCAAACCATCCCAGCCCCTGGCCTGGCCTCTTCCTCCAGCTCCCTCTTCTCTGTTTTTCTGTGCTTGATATGCAGCCTTCACTTTCATCACCCTCAGCCACTTTCATTCCACCAAATCATCCTGCTCATTCCATCTTTGCACCTGTCCCTTTCTTCCCTGTCTGAAAATCCTTTCCTCCTTTCATCCACTTGGAAAACTTCTACACCAGCATGAAGAACTGCATCACCCCCTCTGGGGAGTGCTCTATGACTCCCTAGCATGCTTCTGCGCTCTGCCACCCTGATCCTCCCCTTAGCAAACCCATGTTTGTGTCTGGCTTTGTGCCTGTGTTCCCACCAGACTGGATCACCACAGATCAGGAACTACATGATCTAAACGCCATAGATTAGGAACTACATCCTAAACGCCACCTCTGGTCCTTAGTAAAAATCTGAGTGTCCATAGAACTGAGTGAAGGAAAGAAGGACCCTTCATGTTTGCTCTTCTGCCACTGTGTAAGAAGAATGGGACTTAGCAGTCTTACTCTTCTAAATGTTGAAGCATGCTCCCGGGGTCCTCAGAGGTCAGGATGGCCACCATTTGGTCATTAAGGGAAAGGTCCTCACTCATGCCATCAGCCGAGGCAAACGGTGACAGTTCCAGCTTGCTCTCAGGGTGCTGAACCTGCAGGAGAAGTGCAGAAATAACTGAGTGGGACATTTCAAGGATACCAAATTCTGGGACAGTTTGGAGGGAAGAAGGGGACCCTGTGGACAGGTACACTCAGACAAGCCACTGCACCTGTGTCAGTGGACCTGACCAGCCTGCCCTTGTGGGCAGGTGCACTCAGAAAATTCACTGCACCTCCCTAGGTCTCCACAGTCTCATCAAAGAAAGGAACACTAATTCCAATAGCCGTGAACAGAGGTGTTGTGTGGATAAAATGAAGCAGAGGACAGAAAGGCCTTCTTAACCTCTAAAAACCTCTAAAAATCCCTCACTACTGTCTATCATCATCAGGTAGAGTGGAAATTCGTAACTGGTACTGTGGACCCCAACATCCAACAGTCTGGCTGGTTTCTAATCAAAGCATAGGATTATATGATGAAGGGACATTAATGATAATTCAGCCCAAATGTGGAAAGATGCAATTATTTGTCTTGTCCCTAAGATCACTAACTCACAGAAATGAGTGACAGCTGTGGGTAATAGCTAAGAATTTTTGTCCCTGTGCCAGGTGTTATTCTGGTGGCTTTGCAGGTGTTATATCATAAAACTGTCACAACAACAAGGTGTCAGTTCCCCCACTTTGCAAGTAAGGAAGCCAAGGTTCAGAGCAGCAAATGGAAGTCACAGGGCTGCTGCTTACAACACATCGTCTCACTGGACACCACCCTGGGGGCAGAAAAATGGGGAAAGGGGTCTTTCATTCTGAGCTGCTGGGAGAAGGAGCCCTGCAGGGTCTTCAGGCTTTAAACCATCCACACTGTGCCCTTCCCTAGCAGCTGTGACTGTCGGCCTTAACTTCTGGAAATCGACTCCTGTAACAGGGTGTCCTCCGTCCTCCTGACAGACGACCGCTTGTGGACAACGTGCACAAGGTCTGATGACGTGGGCGGTTTCTCTTCCCCTCACTTTTGCCTTCCAAGGAGATGTGGACTGACATCACTTTGAACTGGCAATGCTCCCCTCCAGGAGGCAGGGACAGATGAGCAATGGCCCCAGAAGCTGGGACAGGACTTCCTGCCTGGGGAGGGAGTCCCCAGAAGCTAGGCTCCAGGCTAGGCTTGGCCATTTCAGCAAGCTGCTCAACCTCATAGACTTCAGTTTCCTCTACACAAGGTGACAGAGAGGGGTGGCAGGTGTTCCTTACAAGGCTTGGGACCTGTGGTGACCTGAGTCACAGGAGCTCCAATCTCCCATATCCCCAAAGGGACAAACCGACCTGCCAAGGATCCCCCTCCCACCAGTGCCCTCTGGTCACAATTTCTCCAAGCTCATCTTGCTCAGTGACCTGAGCCTGGCCTTTCTCCCTTATACTCCACCCATCACTGGTGAGCACCACCACCGCTTCATCCATGTATGGAGTGTCTTTCAGGCGGGTTCCATCAGCCAGGGGATCATAGCAGACACCGCACCCCTTGCCCTGGCCACTGCAGTGCCCACCACCCGGAGACCCACAGCCAACACCTACACACCTTCCCTGAAGACTAATGTGGGAAGGGGGGTGTGGATAGGTTTCCCAGCCCCACCCTCGGGTGGAACAACCCAGAGGCTGGTTCTGTACTGTCTCCAGTGTCCCCAGGCAGGACTCGTCTCCAGGTGCCCACTGTGGCACCTGAGCACAAGTCTCTCTTTGTTAGCTGCCCTTCCCTGCTCCACCACCATCATTTCCTGGTATCGTGTCTCAAGTAAACCACTTGAGTTTGAATCCTGATCTCAAGATGTGCTCCTGTGGGAACCCAGACTAAGAGCTTGAGGGGTTCACAGTCAGGTCTAACTTTTATTTATATGTGCAGGACAAGGAGGGTAGGTCTACTGAAGAAAGTGTGGACCCAGAGAGAGAGAGAGAGAATGAGAGAGAGAGAGAGACTCCCCCAGCCTACCAGAATAAGGGCAGTGATGACTTTCAGGGAAAGTGATGCTCAAGCTTAGACTTAAAGGATGGGTGAGAATTGTGCTGACTGAAAGAGGAGAGAACTGGAAGAGTACACGGTGTGAGCAGGCGCTCTGCACTCTTGGGAATTCTGGGCCGCTAGGTGTGGCCACAAGGTGGAGTGGAAAGGGCTGAGACTGGCAGGAAAGGGGCAACTTCACAAGCCAGGAGAGGCGTGGGCTTCACGCTGAGGATGACAGTCAGCCACCAAAGGCTACTCAGAAGAGAATGTCTAACAGGGCCTGGATTGGAGGTGACAGGAATACACCTGTGCTACAGGTGGGGTGCTAGATTGAAGGGGACTTCACACCTGTCGCTAGTTAAAATCATCCAAGGAGCCAAATACAGAATCAGCAATGACTGGATAAAGAAAGCAGAGTACATATACACAGTGGAATAGTATTCAGCCCCAAAAGATCATACACTGTCCCCACAGGTGGAATAAGCCAGCACAGAAAGACAAGAATTGAGTGCTCTCATGCACAGGTGCAATCTAAAACACTTGAGAAGCAGAGAGTAGAATGATGGCCACCAAGGCTGAGGAGGGCAGAGAGCAGGGAATGGGAGAGGTTGGTCAACATTACGGAGAGCAGGAAGAACAAGCACCACTGCTCTGTTGCACAGGACGGAGACTAGTCAACAGGAATGCACTGTACTTTGCAAAAGAGCTGAAAGAAAAGATTTCCCCACACAGAGAAATGGTTGTTCAAGGTGATAGCTGTGCTCATGACCCTGACTTGGTCATCACATACTGTGCACATGATCAACAAACCACACTGCACCCCATAAATATGTACAATTATTATGTAGCAGGGAGGAGGACCACAGAGAAACAGATTGGCCTGTGTTCTGAAAAAGTAGCAGTGGGGAAGGGATGGTAGAGCAGAGAGACAAAGCCTAAAGAGTCCAAACAGGAAGAAGGTCACGTAGCACTAGGGGTAGAGGGACACTAGGGTGAAGTAGCCTATAGAATTGCATGTAACCATATGTGGGTCAAACCTTACTTTTAAAATTTTATTGCCTCTTTAACCTGCTCGCAAGAGTACATAAGGTGAGACCCCTTTGTTCTCGGGGCTCAGCCTTTGGACACGAGTCCACTGAGTCTGTGCTGGCACAATAAAGTGTTGCTTCCTCGCCTCAGAGTCCTGTGTCTCTGTTCAAGTTTCCCATAACTTTTCTTGGGGGCTTGTTGCCAGGATTGCAGACTGGGATTTTTTTCATCTCTCTTGTCACCGGGGTGCGTCCCTGGACCACTAGGAGATGTGATCCCCCCAGGCACCAATGGACAGCTTGATCTGGAGGAGGGATTTGTGCTCCTAGAGAGTCTGGGTGAGGGCCCTGGATGCACAACGGAACCCAGTGAGGCACAGGAACCAGCAAGGGGAGCCCCGCCCGTCAGACTGGTAAGAACCCAGGTTCAAATAACAGCCCTGCCTTTGGGAGGCAGAAGGGGAGACTGATCACCTCCCAGAGACCCCTAATAACCACCTCTTGGGGTGAAACCATGTCTCCCAGGTTCAGGGAGCAGAGTGGAAGTACTGTGCTGTGTGAAAGTGCAAGCTGAGAAGCAGCTAAGCTGCAAAGCAAGTGAGGAGTCCCAATCCACAGGTCTGTGGTGAACTCATATGGTCAAGGGTGAGCCCTAAGAGGTCCTCTGGCCCGGGATTTATACAGACTCACGATGGCTAAATCCTCGTGAGGGGAGTGGCCGAAGAAGGAGAAGCAAGTGAGGACTCTGTGTAGGTGCATTTCCTGGCTGGGCAACCATGTCCAGGTGACCAATAAGGGGTACTCCCTTGTGTGTCAGAGAAGAGGACCCCTTTACCTCTTCTCCAAAACTCCTCCCTCTCTGTGTCTGTCTTGCCATCTGGTAAAGGGAGGAAATGGGTAGAAATCAGAGTAAAAACACCACCTTGGAGTGTATGGTTAAGAACTTTAAAAATGGATTTAATGGAGACTATGGAGTTAACTCAACTCCTAACAAGCCTAAGGTCCTTTTGTGAAGTAGATTGGCCTGCTTTTGGTGTAGGGTGGTCCCCAGAAGGGTCACTAGATAAACTGTGGTTAATGAAGTTTATAGGGTAATTGTAGGAAAGCCTGGGCACCCAGAACAATTTCCCTATATTGATTGCTGGTCCTCAGCCAGCCCACATGGCTAAGGCCACGTCTGGAAGAGTCCTGTAGAGTTATGGTAGCTAGGGTGGCTGCAACTTCTGAGTGTAGGGAGAAAACAAAGAAGCCTCTACTATAGGCTGAGGAGCCTGAGGAAATACTCCCACCCTATGTGCCTCTTTATTCACCTCTGCCACCAGTGCCCAGTTCTGCACCCCTGCCTCCAATATCAGATGGGAGAGCCCAAGGGACAATCACACCTGTAAAATATGATTCAGAAGCCTTGGGGACCTCGACCCCTCTGACCCCCCCTGAGTTCAAGGGACCCCATACCCACTCCAAGTCTGCCAGTGCTCACTCCACATCCCCCACTTGCTTGAGAGCATCTAACCGGTCTTGGTGAGGACCCCTCCTCTTCTCAGACTCTTGCTGCCCGGCAGATGCTCCTGAGGGAGGCCAGAGCCTCATGTATTATGACCAGGAAGGCCAAATACAAGGAGGAGGATGGGTATTTGTCTATCAGCCCTTTGCCACCACAGACCTCCTCAACTGGAAACATTATACCCCCTGCTTCACAGAAAAGCCTCAGTATCTGATTGATTTAATGCAGTCTATCATCCAGACTCAGAAACTCATCTGGACAGACTGTCACTAGCTACTCCTGACTCTATTCAATACCAAAGAGTGGCACTGTGTAACGCTGGCAGCTCTAAAGTGGCTAGAAGTTCATGCCCCTGAGGGCACCCAAGTGTGAGCCCAGGCCCAGTTCCCTAAAGAAGACCCCCCCACTGGAATCCCAACAATACCCGAGATTACCAGCAACTTGAATGGTATCAGGAGGCATTACTGGGGGCATGAAGGAGGGAGGGGAAAAGGCCATGAACATAAGCAAAACATGGGAGGTCCTCCAAGGGCC